TCTCCGGATTCGGAGCCCCATCGGCGCATGACGTCCTTAGGCCGATAAAGCCACCAATTAGTCTCCGTGTAATATGTATGCCGAATAAATATTTAATGAAGAGCGCGCCGTTATTACGAGCTGACAAAAACCGTTTATTCGAACAATGTCTATCCAATGAAGCACAAAAACATGCAAACATAAGTGTGCGAAAGAAAAAAATTACAAAGCAACAGGAATATTGAAAACAAAGCATTTTATTCTTTCAACCAATAATTACATAATTTTACGACGCAATCCGCGTTTGAACATTACAACGAATATTTTTATGCGGCGTCCCCCTCATCATCCCTCTTTTCGACTTCAAAGGCGGAAAAGGGCAAATGATCACGTCGGTACAGCGGCAACGCCGAATCGACACCCTTTGCTCGAAGAGCCTCCGCGGCCTGAAGTGCCGCGATCCAACCATGCTTAAAGCCCCGATTCTCACATCGGCAGACCTTCTCTGCAAGTTTCTCTTTCATTTTGTCGATCCCAACCTTCCGGCCCTTATGGAAGCCTTGCTCATAACCCATGGCCCTCGCATTTTCTACGACAAACTTGCTTGCCGTAACTCGGTCGGTGATGGCATGACTCAATAGCCGTTGGGTCACCTCTCCTCCACAATCGGGTTAGATTGACCCATCGCATGCGGCTTGGTGGCTTTAGCCTTCCTAAGCTCCCTAAGCTCATGCTCGGCTTTCTCCGCACGAGCCTCCGAACTGCGGATCCGTTCGTCCATTTTCTCTATCTCCCGCCGTGCGACGCGCAGGCGCATGCCGACTTCGTAGGTGGTATACAGCCCCTTCACCACCCCATGGATACCCTCTCGAAATACGTCGAAATCCTGTCGACCAACCATCGACTGCTGGACCTCCGGTGGAAAAATCTGTCGAGCAAACTCGACCGCCACACTTGGGTCCTTAATAATGGAGTTTGTCTCCGTCATCGGTTTGTTCCCCACAAAAACTGCAAAACTCAATGGTCACGGTGCTACATCGGCCTCATTTCTGGGTCGCGGTCGCGGAGAACTTCCTCGTTGCTGTTTCTCCTTTCGGGGTGATTTGCTTCGACGACTCGGAGGCTGACGTTTTTTCCCTTCTCTGGACGCCCCACTTCCCGCAGGGGTGGGTTCTCTGCCACGATTCATTGCAGTATCAAGCTTAACCAAAGTTTGAGCTTCGCATCTACTGTTGAAGAAAACTCTATTTGACATTCACGACAGGTTGTTTTGAATTAAGTCTGAACACAGTAAGTGAAGTTACTGGCGCAAAGAGCCTATCTTATTTATTTCTAATACTTGCAGCGACCCCGAGGCAATTTCATCAATGCTCAACTCCAAACGACGGAAGCCGATTGATTTGTGCCACAGCCACTTCATGTACTAATTTTTGGCTTTTTAAATGGCCTAACTATCTAAACAGCAATTATAGATCGACGCCTTGGAGTTCATGCACTGGCTGGGGCAAGGGCAGATTTATTAATCTAACCGGCCGAGCATCTTGGCCCCGTGCTGATTGATTTGTGCCACAGCCACTTCATGTACTAATTTTTGGCTTTTTAAATGGTCTAATCATCTAGTCGGCAAGTATACAGAACGTTTTATCCAAAACAGCAACAAAACAGTACTATTCGTTAATAACAACAAAGTACAAAACAAATTTTCATTAAGTAAATTGGGCACAAATTATAGCCATTTTACATATGAGAATTACTAAACAAAAAGCTGTAAACATACACACAAATCCTAAAACAAAAAACAAGAGCCGCCCAAATTAGTCCTCGGAGTCAGACTCCAGCGGCTCAACACCCACTTGCTTATATGGAATTGGCGTAGCCAACGTCACATCAGCAGTAGCAAGGGCCTTGAGCCAGCCGTGTTTGAATCTTTGATTTTCAAATTTGGGGACTTCGTCTATGTATTCATCAAAGGTAGATTTTTTCCCGGCGTCGAATGCCCTAGAAGCCTCCAGGTCGACTGTTTCTTCTGCCACCTTTATTTCTTCCAACTCAGCCTCCAATTTAGAGATCGCCTCCTGGGCCAATTTAAATGCGTCATCGCTCGCATCCGCCTTCTTCTCAACAACCGATCTCAATTCTTTAGCATCGTGGGCTCTCTCCATCTCGGCATCGGCCCTCAACCTCCGCTTGTAAACGGCCAATCTGCTCGACGGTATCGTGATGGTGACGACCCATCTCGACTATCCTCCCGACGGCCTGCAAAACAGGAAGTTGAGACCAAAACAATATTTGCGTAAGGTGAAAAGACGAAGTCAAGATATATACCAAAAGAGCCGATTGCGCGGCCAACACAATTGCAACCAGATCCGGCTCCGCCCGAAAAGCCGCCTTATCAGCATGCAGTGAAACGGACGTGGCCATGCTGAGTGTGACCGCTGGATCTTTGATTACCGAAGCATCGGAATAGATCGGCGTATTTTTTTTCTCTTCGGCTGAATAACAAAAGGTACAATTACATCCGATTCCTCCAAACGAGGTCGTTTGTCGGCGCATTCTACTAAGCCGGCCTCGACCTCGGCAGGGCGCTTCTCCACCCTTTGCTCAGCTTCTATACTTGCCTGCATGAAAGGTACCGCCTCGGCACTTCCCTTCTTTGCCGTTCCCTCCCCAATGACAGGCAAGGAGGATTGGGACTCGCCAATAGGTAGGAAGGGCTGAGATCCGCCAAGAGTCTGGGAGGGCTGAGATTCGGCAGCCGGAATGGCCTCCGCCTTTCGCCGCGCGGCCATCCTTTCCACGTTCGCCTTCTTGGCAAGTTTAGTGAGGCTCAACCTAGCCATATCTCCTGGGTACGCGCCGGGAAGGTCCTCTAGATCGTGAAAAATATCGTCAAGTGGATGGTCCTCTCGACCTGAAGTGGATGGAGGATCAACTGAGTTGAGGCTGGCTTCTTCAGATGCTAACTTCAAAGCCTCATTAACCTTGGCTTCGGATTGGTCTGATTCGGTGGCCTTAGCTACTTCTAGTCCCTCCGAGTCTGATCCCTCTAAACCGACTTGCCTCAAATTTTTTAAATCAGTCAAGATAAGGGCGGTAAGAAACTCCTCACCCTTTGGAATCAGAATGTTTTCCGCCGCCGAAAAGGTTGTATAAGTCGGCTCGTAGCGGCGCAGAACGTGGGCCGCCCTCCCCTGCTTCTGAAGACTCGGCTGGCCAAAATATTTGAGCGCAGCCTTGATTTCCGAAAGGATGGCGTCGTCAGTTGAGGTCAAGACTTTCTTCAAATCGGTCCCTGCAAAAGCAAAACCATGAGGTCCTGAAAATGAAGCTTTATAATTATGACAAGTAAACAAATAAAAGAGGATATTCGGCCACCTGGTTCGCCTCTCCGTTTAGGAATACGATCAACGCAATCCTCGCCTCTGCCGAATTTCCAGCTTCCTTGGACGACGACCATAACATCATCGACTCGCTTCCCAGAGCTGGAAAAGCATAGTCACTAGTTGATGGTCAGTGTCTTTGGCCCTAAGGAAATAACGCCCTTGTCGACTAGAAGACTTGGCCAAGGCGTAGCAATGCCGAATAGCAGGAATGCCAAGATTAAGCCTAAGACGACGGTTTAGTGCGATAATCCCCATCATGATCCTAAAGAAGTTAACGTTGGGTTGGGAAGGGATTAAGCCCCAATGGCAGAGCACGACCCTAAGGAGTGAGTGAAGGGGGAAACGGACTCCACCCTCTGCGATTAATAGGAGGGGGAAGACGATTGTGGTTTTATCAACCCTCTCCATATTGAGGGTGCCGTTTGTCACAAGTGACAGACGGACGTTATCAGGAATGGAGAAATTGCGTCGGAAGCCAGAAATTCGGTCCGGTGAGAGGAGATCTTTTAAATATTTCGCCATTTCCCCCAGCCAATAGGAATAGGCTAAGCCAAAAAACAAAGCAAGGAAAGAGATTCAAAGCAAAGTAGGAGGGAACTTACAAGAGGCGAAGAACATAGAGAAGAGAAGGAAGTTGCAGAGGTAATTCGGAAAGCAGTCCAGCGACGAGCGTCTAAAAGCGTGTATGCATTTGAAAAGATGTCAAAATTTTAAATCACAATAAATAGAAGTGTACGAAGAGGTGGGAAGTTGAAATGATAATCGAGAAGCGTGTGTTCAGACATTCGTGTTGGAATACGGTCAGCCGCCGAATTTCGGCTTTGACTTTTCGAGTTCGAAGCCAAACACTCCAGCCAATTGTCGTTAGTGGAGTGCTTGGGGGGCATTGTGGGGGCTGAGTATTGGGAATCGTAGAGATTCCGGATAGTCGAGCCGGGGAGAGTCGAAATTCATGGTACTCGGCATCGGCTCGACAACTCGCATCTAACTCTACTCGGCCAAATAGCCGATTAAGCATAGTGGCCGAGTAAATAGCGATCTACTACAAAATGTGCCGAATAAGGAGTAGGAAATGGATCTAATCCCGAGGCTCAAGGAAGAAAAGATATAAATAGAAGAACATCAGCCAGAAAGAGGTATGTGAGAACTACTGTGCTTAATTTAGAATACAAGTAACCTTGAGCATAAAGACTGACTTGTCCGTCGGAGTGCTAATTCCGACACCTCCGACCAGAGTGTTTATTCATTTTCAGGTGACTAGAAGAGGATCGCTAGCGTCTCGCAGGATCAGAAGAATATTTTCAAAACCACTTCTCTACAAATTATATAATAGTAAATTATAAAAATTTAAATTTACACTCCTAATATTGAGTACGATTTTTTTAAATTTGAAAAATTTGTCCTACTAGCCATAAAGGCTGCCGCCCAAGTAATTGACTTGAAAAAATAAAATCTAAAATCTCAAAACCTATGTGTCAAAGTTTTACCAAGTTGCCAAAACTCCTGATTAAATTATTATTATTTAGTTAAATGGAATTTTACATCTCCTCCGAACCATATAAGAATGTAAAGATTCGTTTGAACCGGATGTCAGTCCGACCCAGTACGGTACGAACTCTGAACCGTACTGCTTTATTTGGCCTTGCCTCATATATATATATATATATACGTACATTATACATACACTCATCTCTCTATAAGAATCCTAGGGCTAGGGTTTGATACCCAGTTCAATACTCACTCTTCGGAATCCACTACACTTCAATTCTTCGCCGATTACTCTCCTCCTCACCAGGTCTCTCTCTCTCTCTCTCTCTCTCTCTATATATATATATATATGAATAGGTTTATGTGATTTTGATATATTTGGTTATCCCAGAGCTTCTTTATCTCCCATATCTCAATTTGAGAGATAACAATTCTGGGTTTTCAATCAAATGTGTCGTTATGTAAGATTTAGCCACCGTTGCTTGTGATTTCTAAATTTGGGAATACTGTAAGTCGCAATTAGGGCTTAATTTGTGTCTATCAAGTATTGAGTTCTTCAACATATCCTCTGTTTTATGGGTTTTGAGCTTATAGTACAAAAAATGCTGAAGAACAATTTAAGAACATTAATGGGCAAGCAGTGGAAATGGAAAATTTTCTTTGTACTCTTTGTTATGTTTTTATTTGATTCCATTTTTTCACTGATTATTTGTTTTTTTGTATATATGATATAATTATGATGGGATGGTTCAATTCTAGTTGATCCAACACTTCAATCTGGTTTCCTCTCCTGGTTTTTGAAAACTTCATTTTTATAAAATCACTTGTGATATATCATAGATTTTGAGAAGCTAACACCAAAATATTTATAAAGCATTTTCACATTAAATTGTTTTAATCAAATGTGAAAATGATTGCTTATGGGCAATTCTAGGCCAAATTATTTAGGATTCGGTTATACGAGATGAAATTATATTATGGGTTTTGTGTGTTGTGGCATCATAATCATACTAACTATTGTTAGCAATATTTGATCTTCGTTTGGTGTGGTGATTATGTCCTAAAAATGTTTTACGCTCCTAGATTCATTCTATAGTGGTATAAATATAGATGTGTAGATATTTCTTTTAGCAACAAAATGTCAATTAACTCATATGTGGTGATTGTCTGTGACATTTGATCATTATAGGTCGTGAATATGGTTGGTTAGCGTATTTTATCGAAAAGGAAAAATGTTGTAGTTATACCGTATCACTTCTTTTTTTGGAACATGGATGTGGATTTTGTGCAACTGTAGGACTTTCACTTAGTATATACATCATGAATAATGCTTGGGATCCCCTTTTGGGGGTCACCCCCTCACCCCCTTTGCCACATGGCGGGTGGTGATTAGAGGAGCAGGAAAAAAAAGAAAAAGAAAAAGAAAATGTAACCAATGAGAGAGAGAGGGGGTCAAAGGGGGTGGGAGGAAAAGGGGGGATGAATCATTGTTGATACATCATACATGTATATATTGTGATTTCATTACAACATGGAAATTTTCTTTTTCCTTTTTCCTCTTTCCTGCAGTAGCACTTTTATTTATCATGGGGCAGATGTAGACTATAGTAAGCTATAGGAGTCTACTATCTTCTGTATGTATTTAAAATAAGTCAAGTATGTTATGTATCTTAAACATCATTTTTTCTTTTGTAATTAACTTCCTGTTTTTAAATGAAGGAATTGATCACTTGGATCAAGTCCTTTTTTACAGGCTTATATGCATTCTTCTAGTCTGGCCAACATCTCTATGTCTTGGTAGGACTCAGTATAATGTGAAAGATTGTTGACACTTTCCTTTTTTGTGGCTAATGTAAGGTGCAAGGTCTCTCATAGTTTTTGTCTGGGCTTTATGTAGAATTAACTTTAGATAACTTGCAGATTGCTTAGTAGCTGGTAGTTGTATGTGAGTATGTGGTTTAAATCTTTGGAAGATGAGAGAGAGAGAGAGAGAGAGAGAGAGAGAGAGATGGGTAGAGTTGAAGAATTTGTTTTGTTTTGTTTTGTTTTTTTTTAAATCCTTGATCTACAATGTCGGAAACTTGATCCACTGAAAGTTATTTGGAAATCACTGCACGGTGGTGAATTGTTTTTCTATTCTTTTTTTTTATTATATATTTTTTGGCTTGTTCACTATTTTCAAGAAGGATTTAACAGCGGATGGTTGATTACATGGGATTGGACAGTTCCAATTTTTTCTATGTTATGCCATTCAATTGCAAAATCAGTTAATGGTATAATACCGTGCCTTTTATTATATTGCACCAAGCCTTGATGATTTTCGAGTTGGGAGAATGATGGGTTCAGGTATTGAAGGTTAAGAGCCAAAGTTTTGATTTGAAAGATAATTGTTCTTCTAGCCTTGGTGTGTTTGTTGAAGGAGAGTAGTAGAAGAATCTTTGTTGACAAATCAAAGAATGAGACCTAGTTTGGTGTGATAGCATGCATTAGATGATGGCTACAGAAAATCTTTAGATATGGCATCTTTTAAAAAGTAAAAATATTTGGGAGTGAAATAAGTAGCTGATGGACTTCATTTGATGAGCTATTGTGAGTCCATTCTTTTGTGTTAATTCCAAGGAAAAAGATTAGAGGCATTTAATTCTGTGGTACTTAGTGTTTCTCCTGGTATTTCTACATCTTTTGTGTTCTTTTGTGTTAATATTAAATAATCATGTCTGTTAGTGATTGTTGTTTTGATTTCCTGCAGGAATCACCTTCTTCCCATTTGTTGAGAGGATAGTTTTCAATTTACAGATTGTTTAATTATTTATTTTTCCTATGGGGGATACAGAAGATACACTCCTCCCACCTTCAAAGAAGAGGGCTGCTGGAAGGGAATTATCTCGAGATAACCCCGGTCTTGATGATGATGAGGAGTCTTCTGAACTAGAGTCTGGGACTTTCAAGAAAGCTAGCGAGGAAGTGCTGGCAAGTAGAAGAATTGTCAAAGTCCGTCGGAATCAAACATCGTCAACCTCTTCTCCTAATCCTTTTGCTGGAATCCGCTTGGTTCCTTCTACTGATTCCAGCACGGCTGCATCTGAATCTACTACTAAAGTAGTAAGTGAGAAAATAGTTTCAGAAGAGGTTGATCGAAAAAATGATGTGAATGAGGAAATTGACAAGGGAAATTATGATAATGATAAGGAGACAGAAAACAAGGCTGATGAGGTTGCAGATGAGAAGAAACCGGATACTGATAATGAGGGTAGCAAATCTGAGTTAGCAGATGAGAAGGCAACAGAAGAAGAGAAAACTGAGGTTGCAGATAACAAAGACACCGAGGGTGCTACGGCTGAGAACAAGGACGTGAAAGAAAATGGTAACGAAAACAAAGAAAAAGGTGCAGAAGCTGCGTCATTTGGCTCATTCCAGCAGCTTTCAAGCAGCCAAAATGCCTTCACGGGACTTTCTGGAACTGGGTTTTCCAATTCTACCTTCTCATTTGGGTCGATTCCTAAAGATGGATCTTCACTAGGTTCTGGTTCCGGTTCTCTTTTTGGACTGAAAACTGACCAGCCTTCTTTTGGTTTCAGTCTTTCTAATAATGGAAATTCTTCCCTCTTTGGCACACCAGGGGCTTCGATTGGTACTAAGAGTGAGACAAGTGGATTCCCATCTATGCATGAGGTTCAGGTTGAGACAGGTGAAGAGAATGAAAAACCTGTTTTTACAGCTGATTGTGTGACGTTTGAGTTTATTGAGGGAGGGTGGAAGGAGAGAGGGAAGGGTGAACTCAAGTTAAATGTCTCAACAACCGGAACAGGGAAAGCCAGACTTGTAATGAGAGCTCGAGGTAACTATAGGTTGATTTTAAATGCGAGTTTATACCCGGATATGAAGCTAACTAATATGGAAAAGAGAGGCATCACATTTGCGTGCATGAATAGTACTGGTGAAGGGAAGGCTGGGCTTACTACATTTGCTTTGAAGTTTAAGGACGCTTCCATAGTTGAAGAGTTCTGTGCAGCGGTTGCAGAACATATAGGCAAAACAGTTGCTGTTCTGAAGACACCGGAAAATTCTCCAAAGGCATCGGATGACTAAAAGCAATCCAAATTAGTGGACAGAGAACTCTATTTCCTTTTGTAATAGTCGAAGAAGCTTCTTTAGAGTTTGATAATTTGTAAGGCCATCCATTCTGCTGTTGTTTTGACTTGATCAATGCATGGGTAAATTTGGGTTTGGACTGCCTACTTTATAATTGAAAGACCTGGAACTGCCGAACTTAGTTTGCGAACCGTCTCATCATTCTTGAGTTACACATCAAATTGCCGTCTTGCAGGTTGAAAATACAATTGGTTTGCATTCATCTACGGAACACTATCATCGTGATATGCATTTGTTCTTTATCAAATCGATACATTTGGAACCGGTTGAGACAGTTGCAGACCAGTCCAATATGTTGTATTACATTCCCCATGAATGAATGAGCTTAAGATGCTATCATCATATACTAAGGTTTTTCTGCAGCAGCCAGGTCTGCGGTGCCCCAAAAACTGTGTTAAGTTCCTGGTTGATCAGTTGTTTCTTTCCTGCTTTTTTTTCATTTTATCTTGATGTTTAATTTTTCCTTCATTTGATGCTTTGATGTCATTCTGGGTGGCCTATCTTTTGATATAATATGTAAAAATATATATATATATATATACATATATGAGTTGTGGATGCTTTTCTCATCTATGTTACATTCTCCATGAATGAGCTTGGATTTGTTGAATTTACAAGAGATAAGTGAATAAAATTAAACTTCTATGTCATTCATGTTTTTCTTTTCTTTTCTTTTCTCTTTGCATTCCAATGTAAATGTACTACATTATATAATAAGCAAACCAATCATATAAAAATATGATAAGAATAGTAAGGAACAGATCTGAGTCTGACCCCTCTTGTAATTATATGCATGTGGAGGGAGGTCTATACTTCTTCACATGCTATAATTTTTGTCTTTGTACTTGGGCTACATATACTCACGGGTTACCCTACAAAATGTTCCCCCCCCCCCCCCCCCCTCCCCAACAATTGCATGACACGTCATATATGTATCAATATCCCTTTGAGAAAATGAGTTTATTTTTTGTGATTTTATGATTGATGTGACTTGTGTGACTTTGGATCTTCATTTAATTGGATAATATAATTGTTAATATTTCCCTATGGCAATGGTCCCCATTCTTTTACAAGTACAATACAAAACTCTCTATATATTTGAACCCGTGACCCTTTAAAAAATCAGAGAGCTGAAATCAGATGGCATTCATAGTGAATTTATTCATTTTAACTGTCTTTATTTTGACAAAAAACCTAAGCCTGAAAAATATTTATATATATTTTTTGACGTTTAATACAAGTGAAAATGTAAGTTTGTCATAGATGTTTTCTTGTGATCAATGAAAATGAATTGATTTGGGTGGACAACGTTTTTCATGCAATATTCTTACTAACAACTATGCTATATGCACAGAGAGAACGAGACACGGAATATATAGATGTGAGACAAAATGTTTACAATTATAGATGCAAACATACATTTAAAGATGAAATTTGTAGTTGTGAACATTTTGTCTAACATTGTATTTTGTATTTGGTTCTCTCTATGTACCATGAATTTTGGTTCTCACTATTATCACCACTACTAATAACCTAACTGTTACTGTTGCCACCACCACCTCAATTGACACATCATTTTTAAAGTCGTAACTAAACATCATTTTTAAAGTCGTAACTAAACATGAGAAAATATTTTAAATATTTCTATACAAAAATATTTCAGTTGAAATAAACAGGGCATAAATTCGACATTTGAGCTCCTCAAAATTGTGATAAGTAGTGTGAAATTCTATTTTGAAATAGATTGCTTTAGTACAAATACTATATTTCTAAACAACAACAATAATTCTTTCAAGGCAATAAATAGTTCTTGGTGCACCCTTCTGAGCAGGAATTCACACAGCTTTCCACTTTCTCTCCACCTGACCAAAGACAATGCAGAAACTGAGCAAGCAAGATAGGAGGGTTTTTATTATTATTATTATTATTATTTTATTTTTAAAGCCTTATTGATTGAAAACAAAATTCTCAAATTCAAGTTGTTTTACATTTATTTATCAAATTAAAATTATTTTTAAAATTGTGTTTTTAAAAACCCTCGACTTCTCTTCTGTCATGTAGAACCCACCCTATTGAAGTCGAGAGATGAGCACACACGATTTCAATCTATAATTTGTTTTAAAATCATATTTTGAAAACACAATATTAAGTTAAAATCATGTTTTAAAAACATGATGTATAAAATGACCTATGATAAATAAGTTCAAATTAACTGAACTTTGTAAGTTTTATTTTGTGTTGATTATATTTTACTCACTTAACTATCACTAAATATCACCTTAAGCCCTTCAATTTTAAAATTGTATATTTAGACCCTTCTAGTGTCAAAATTATTTCATTTTCACCCCTCTACTACTTGTCTTTGTATAGTTTATTTATAATTGATAAGTCTAAATGTATGGTTTTAAAGTTGAAGAAGGTAAAGTGATATTCAATTATAGTTGAAGAGAGTAAATTATAACAACTCTAAAATTTTTATACAACGTGGGTTTGGTAAAAGAACTCAAGGGAGAGAGGAGGAGAGGGGGAGAGAGAGAGAGTTACCAGGGTTTTGTTTAGTACTGATGTTGGAGCACAACGAAGAAGCACAACCAAGCTTGCAAAACTGGTGGTTAACCTTATCACCATGGATACTTTGAGTCGTCGTGGGGACGACACAGTCCTTGAGGCACTGGAGAGCACATCCATAAGCAGTGTGAGAAGGTATGATGTTGCACAAAATGAAGCATCCGACGTAGCAATCCATGAAAGGGGTTGGGGACTGCCCTTCTATTACTCCCATCCCAGAAACCACAATCACTATCACCATCACCACCATCGCCCTTAGTCTTACTGTTCCTCTCTCCATCTCTCTTTTCCAAGAAAATATGACAACCCTAAAACTCAGTTTCACTTCCTAGTGTTTATATACTAAGTAACAAACATTAAAAGAAGCAGAAAATACTAGCATAGTATATAAGAATTCTGTTCAAAGCAAATAACGTTTCAACATGTGAAGTTATTGTGTGACATGTGATGCTTTTTTGTTTTTTCCTCGACAGGGTTATACTTTAAAAAGTAAAATGATACCACAACCACTTGATTGGATATTGGATATGTATGTGCAAATGACTTGTATCACGAGACGATATCTCTGTTCCAAATTTTTTATCTCCTTGTCCTATGTTTTCTGTTTTTCATTGTACAATGTGACAATTTCATTGATTTTTAATTTGAAAATTGTCACATTGTGCAGCAAAAATGAGCATAGGCATAGAAATCACATCCTATGGTTGTAGGAAGGATTAGACTTTTTAAGGGCATGAAACTCAGCTTGACAAACTGATGGAATCTTTTGAGTAAGAAGTTTTTAATCCATTCCAATTTGGCTAAGAGGTACCAACATATAATTCCACATCTCTCTCTCTCTCTCTAGAATATGGTATTATAGAATGCATCTCCAATCATATTTTTCTTATTGGTTCACTACCTTCTCTAATTTAATTATCAAATATAGGGGGAAAAAATATTCTCCATTCAATTACAAATCATCATGTTGGCATAGTTAAACCTTGTGTGAGTCTCGTGTTTAGCTTGGAATTTCCCGGATACTTAATTATCCAAAAAAAAAAAAAAAAAAACCTCACTATGTAGATGTAATAACTGAATTGTCTAAGATCAAGTTGTTATATTTGAATAATTTGATTCACCATCCCATATATTATTTTATTATTGGTTAGTGATATCACATATCGGTGAGAAATTACCAATATGTTGAATTTTTACTACCTAATGGTTCTTGTTTTTGTTTTGTTTTGTTTGTTTGTGATTTTTTTTTTTTTAAAAAAAAGAAAAAGAAAAATTGAGATGTTCACGAATGGTTTCTTCAGGTTTTTGTGCTATGTTTTCTCTCTAGTTAAAATATGATTTAATTGTTAGGCATGTCATATGAATTCGTTTTGTTTATAGGCACCATACATCCCAGTTACATTTTGCTATTAAGATGAGGAAGACAAAATGTAAATTAGATCACTAAAAGAGGATATTATTGTTTTAAAAAACCAATAAGTGTGTCATATACTTCATGTATGACCTGATTCAGTTTGAATTCTTAATATAATCCCCACAGAAGGTGTTAAATGTAACAAGATAATACTTTGAGGTGATTGATTGTTGAGTTTTAAAGTTCAAAGACAAAGTGCAAATGAGTTATAATTTAAAAGAATTTACAATAATTTACCTCAAAAAAATTATTTCAAAAAATATTTAGAAAATCATATCAATGGACCACATTCATTAGTAGCCCACATCACTTTTAGAACAATTTTTGAGATATAAATTCTCATTACATAGCATTTTTTATTGCCAAATCAATCATTTGGTGTTCATGTTAACATTGTAAAGTCTATCACTTTCAAATTAACATTGAATTTTAGACCTAAAAGTGGACTTGAGTAGGATTTAGGTGGAATATAAGGACTCAATACTCAACGAGTGAGCTTTTGAAACCACATGAGCAAACATGAGCAAAACAATAAAATATAAGGTTCGACTTTGTTGATTATTATGTATATAACTTAGTGAAAGAAATTAATTTTTTTTCCCCTTTTATTTGATTGAGTTCTGAAAATGAGAAGATAACAAATAGATCATTGTTAAAATAACCCATTATTTGGTTAATTACTCATAAAAATAAACATGTATAAATAATTTCATTCTTTCTTTCTTTTTTAATCTTTGTTTAAATATAGCAGTAGAGATATAATATTTGGATACCCTTTAAATTCTAGGAGAGAAAGATCAATAGATGTTCTCTTTGACAATTTTTTCTTTTTAAATATTTTTTTATATCATATATATATATGTTTATAAGCTGACAGACCACTTGACCCAATAGTATATATAGCTAACAATGTGTTTTGAAACACAATTTAGTTCACAAGGCCCATTAGCATCAAGGTTTTTATTAGATTATGGAAGAAACTTTTTATTATTATTGATGAGGCATATGTTAAAATTTAACATTGCTTCTCTAGGTACATTTATAGATCATATTTTCTCATAGAATTAACTAAACTTCATAAGCAACTATTAGTGTCCTTGAGACAATCAAGCGCGCATGATTTTGAGGACGTTTCAAATTTCTTCAAATATGCAACAATAACAAATCTCGTAAGAATCACAAAATATAGTATTATGTTTATGCATGTGTAAATTAAGCATATCTTAATAGTGTATTTGTAATTTTCCTAAATAATAAATCAAAGAGAATTTACTTACTATTGCAATTTGCAAGTACTTATACATTACATGTAAACTTGAATGTAAAAATGAGAGAGAGAGAGAGAGAGAGAGAGAGAGAGAGGCTTGTTGTTAAACCATAATAAGTAGGGGTTTTGGGGTTGAAGGGGCAACACATACCTAACCCTAAGGTCTCTAAGAAAGACACTTGTCTTGGCCTTTACATGCAATCCTCTCTCAGCTGTCACCATTGCCTTGATTAGAGTGTTTAAAGAAAAATGGTCATTGAGTAAGTTGAGGTTAACTCATTCAGTTGAACAAATTAACAATTTTGCCTATAAAACTATGACATGTGCCGCATATGTATACATTTTCGATAAAAAACTACTGAAAATTATAATCAGATAGACTATATCATAAATTTAATATAAGAACTACCGATATAATTTGGTGCTAGTAAAATTACTAGAGATGTAAGTGTTGCATATCAGATAATGCATCGTTCTTGGGTGGAGGTGGAGGACCTTCAAAGCATAATTTGAGACACTTAGCACGACATGCTGGGTCTCCAATCTTAAATTGGCACTCTGTTTCACACTTTCGACATTCTGCACTATACACTTCCCCAACAACATTTGCACCTACTACCATCATCATTAACATCACCACCACCATCATCGTAACATTTCTCTTAGTCATTTTGTCCATCCTGTCCTCTCTTTTTTTCTCTATATCTCTCTCTTTTACTTTCTTCAAAATTTTCACTATTCAACCAAGTTGATACATCAATTTGTAGGCATCCATGAACCTTCAACCATTAATTGGAGGCTATCTTTTGATCTATAGATTTTGGTATTTACCATTTAATAGAGAATATGTCTCTCTATACCATTATCTCTATACATCTCATTCTAATATATTCTAATATATTTTGGTATGTAGCATTTAATAGGTCTTTCTAATATATTTTGTACGTTTCATTCTAGGTCCACAATTAGGAATGCCAAGGGGATAGGTTTGGGACGGGTTTGTTATCTCCCGCCTTTGCTTTTGCCCCATATCATACAAGGGTGGGACAGATTAGGAGGTGGACATGACGCGGGTTAATTTTGTAACTTTAAAAATAAAAAAAAACTTAATAAAAATTAAGATAATATAATATATTATAGATAATAATTTATAATTAATGGGAATTAAAAGATGTAATATGATAAATAAATGAATGAAAATAAATATTAGTATATTAAAAAAATAAATTATATACATATTATGTACATAAAAATATGTTTAACAAAAACAATTGAGGTAAGGGTGGGCGAGCAAAGTCCGTCCCCTCCCCATTCCTCATCAGGATGGACAAAACCTACACGGGGCAAGGGAGGCGGGGACAAAGCGGGTTTAGAGAAATTGTGATCCCTACTCACAACGATGATTCAAACAGTTCAATTCAAAGTAAAAATAAGTTTTGTAAAAAATCAATTTCATCATGCATCACTACATACGTAAACAAATTACATTTTATTTTGGGTTAATTACACTTTTCATTCTTATAGTTTGATCCAAATTTTATTTTAATCTTTATAGTTTTAAATTGAACAATTTAGTTCTTACACTTTAAGCCTAGCTTCAATTTGGTTCTTATGTCCAAATTTTCGTTAAATTTTTTGTATGTGTCACCTTATAAAATTGACAAGTGTTCCAAAGTTGTTAAATTTAACCTCAAAGATGGAAGAGTTAAATTGAAACTGAACTTAAAATGTAGAAGTCAAATTATTCAATTTGATATTGTAGAGACTAAGTTGAATATAGATCAAATTATAGAGAAGAAAACTGTAATTAACCATTTTATTTTTTAAAATAGACGACAACTATGAGTTTAAACTTAAATTATTTTATAAAATAAAAAATGATTTGTTTACTTATTTATCGATGTTGATGAAATTAATTTTTTTATATAAATAATCTTCACCTTATGAAATAAATAGTTTAAATTATTGTTGTGGCCCATAATAAGGACCCACAAAATAAAGTATGGATGCGTATGAAAAATAATGATATTTAATATCATTGAATAAGTAATCTACCAAATCTAGGTATATTAATTCCAGATTTCACTTTGCATTTAGAATCATAAAATGATAATCTACAAAGAGTGATATTACATGCACCAATTAGTGTACTAACTAGTGTACATCTCATTCTAATATATTTTGGTATGTAGCATTTTATAGGTCTTTCCAATATATTTTGTGCATCTCATTCTAGGTCCACAATTAGGAAAGTTTTCAACCTCAACTTTTTAGTCTAAAAAGACAAAAAGTGCACTTATTTAGTTTTCCCAAACTTGGCCTAAAGTATGGATGCGTATGAAAAATAATGATATTTAATATCATTGAATAAGTAATCTACCAAATCTAGGTATATTAATTCCAGATTTGACTTTGCATTTAGAATCATAAAATGATAATCTACAAAGAGTGATATTACATGCACCGATTAGTGTACTAACTAGTGTACATCTCATTCTAATATATTTTGGTATGTAGCATTTTATAGGTCTTTCCAATATATTTTGTGCATCTCATTCTAGGTCCACAATTAGGAAAGCCAAGGGGCTAGGATTGGGGCGGGTTTGTTATCTCCCGCCTTTGCTTTTGCCCCATATCATACAAGGGTGGGACAGATCAGGAGGTGTTGGAGATAGGACAGGAGGCAGGTTAATTTTGTAACTTTAAAAATAAAA